GCACACCAAATTTACTATGTCGAGGACGAGAAACATAAAGACTGGAATATGGTCGTTCACCTCAAGCCACGGGATCTTTACGATATGGGTGATGGTGACATTATTTACGACAGTGAACCCTTCCAACCCTCGAATTTTGAAGACTTCTTTCCTCAAGGAGATGATAATTTGCCACTTATCAGGTACACGTCTTTTCTTAAATTATTTAAATAATTAACTACTAATTACTAATTTTTTCCAAATACAACATAAATTTAACAAATTTTTTTAAAATATGTCCTTTCAGGCCGGATGATGATGGAGAGTAGCAGCATCCAAAATAAATTATTTAACAAATTTTTCGTCCATAAATACATATGTATAAATTAAAATTCGTAAAATTTTTTTAAAAATAAAAAAATTTTCATTTGTAGCGGTTATTAACCGCTACAAATTTTTCCACGAAATTGCAATTTGTAGCGGTTATTAACCGCTACAAATTACAATTTCGTGAAAATTGTAATTTGTAGCGGTTAATACCCGCTACAAATTACAATATCGTGAAAAAATTTGTAGCGGTTATGAACCGCTACAAAATACATACCTGTAAATTAAAATTCGTTCAGATTTTAAAAATAAAAAATACTAACTTTCTAGCGGTTAATAACCGCTACATATGTAACCGCTACTAATTACTAGCGCTTTTATATACGCTAGAAAATGAATAACAGCTACAAAATGTTATAAAACGCTACAAAAACACCGCTACAAATGTGTCGCTGATCTCTATAAATACCATATCTTCTCTACATTCATTTACTCCATCTCTTTTCCTTCCTCTCCTATTCTTCTTCATAATTCTCTCTTTTTTTCTTACTATCTCATATTGTGATTTTTTTCTCTTTACTCTATGGTAAGTGAATTTTATTTTATAATTAATTGTATCTTTTATTTGTTTTCATTTAAAATTTACTAACATATTTATTTCTCCTTTCCTTTCAGATTTTTCTTCTCCACATTTGTCATGCCCTCCTCAACTGATTCAAATACTCATCAACTTAATACTATAGGTTCAATATTCCAAAATATATCATCTTCAATTCAACTATCTTATTAAATATTCAATTAAATTATCTTGTTAGATTAAATTCACTTCTTTTAACACATTCATAATTTAATTACATATTTTTTATTACAAAATTTGAATATATAAAATGTAACATATAACTAATTATACAAATTAACAAAAATTCTTCAAAATAATTTATTTAATGGTTTTTAAAATTATAATATGAAAAACCATAAATTTTTTTTTCTGGCACGGTAAACATTTCTAGCGGTTCAGAACCGCTAGAAATATTTCGTCAAATTTAAATTTCGCGCCAAACTTTCTAGCGGTTAAGAACCGCTAGAAAATTTTCCCGCCATTCTAAAAATTCAATTGGTGTGAAAATTTAATTTCCCAAAGATTTCTAGCGGTTCTATAACCGCTAGTAATTTTCGCGCGCTACTGAAATTATTTAATTCCCGTTTAGCAGGTTTCTAGCGGTTACAAAACCGCTAGAAATTTTTTCCGGGGAAACTTTTCTAGCTGTTATAAAACCGCTAGAAACGTTTCCCCGGAAAAAATTTCTAGCGGTTTTGTAACCGCTAGTAATGTGTCTCCTTCAGATAATTTCTAGCGGTTCGTAACCGCTAGAAATGTTCTATCGTTTTGACCATGATGTGTAGCGGTTGAGATAACCGCTAGAAATTTTTTCTAACACCTGTTTTTCTAGCGGTTTCGTTAACCGCTACAAATGTTATTTGTAGCGGTTAAAACCGCTAGAAATGTAACACCATAACCGCTAGAATTAACATATTTTTTTGTAGTGTTTTACGGTATACGAAGCAAATATGCGGAAGAATTTGTCTCGATTTGTAGAAAAATACTTCTGTCTATTTGATTGATTTTCAGTAAAGAGCTTTCTGACTGGTTCCTACCTGTTAAAGCACTTGCTGCAGCCTTAATCTAAGATGTTTTGAATGTAATTGTTCCATATTTAGTTAAATGTGGTGTGCTCAAAGCCACTCTTGAACTCTTGCGCCGTTGCATGAATTATGTAGTTGCGATGGATGTTCTTGAATGCTTTAATCTTGTAATCGACCCTCATCATTTAGTCATTCCCTGCTCTTTTCATGCCTTCGGTGTTCCGGTGATGGAAATTTTAATCCCTGTCCATCTATGTTTTCCTCTTGTTATCCAAATTATGGCATCAATTAGGGATGTGTGGGTTTGCATTTTGGGTTTTCCTTTAATTTAAACCCTTAACATGGGGTACTATCTCCATTGATTGATTTTTAGTGGATAGCCTGCTTATTGGTTCCTACTTAACAAAAGAAATATACATACATAATAAAAAAGAAGAAAAAAACAGACATAGGAAACAAATCAGAAATATCCTTGACTTTTCATATAAACTTGCTGCTGAAATCTCAGGCCTGTACAAATTTGCGGCATAAGTTCGAAATTTGTTTGCTAGCTGGTGCATGTCAACCCTGTGAGGTCTTGCATACTGGTTGCTGGTGCTATTAGGTCGTCCATAATCTGACCATTAATTCAAGGGTTATTACGGACACATTTCTTTTTAATTTTTGTACTCGATTGAGGACCTGTTTGGAACAGCTTATAAGTAGCTTTTCAATAGTAATTTATAAAATACGAGGAAAGTATATGAGAAAAGTTTTGTCTCGGTTTAGGTGAAATGCACTTATAAGGGATTTCTTAAGTCCTCCCAAACAGCCCTGAGTGGTGAATGCTCGTTGAGCCTTGCGCTCTTTTGCTGTCAAGATCCATATGGAAAATTTTAATTTGTCTAAGCACTCACTGTGCTTATGGCTAAAACCATAAACCTTAACAAATGAGTTTAGTTTAGTACGATAACTCTGTTGGTGCATCTCTCACTGACTTTGACCTGTCCTTTCCATCTTAAAACTGAAAAGTTATTTCTCCAATTGTCCATAAATTATAGGTGTGTGGGTTTTCCTCTAATTGTCCCAATTATGTCATTTCCATTTCGGAACTGAAAAGTTATCAGCTCTGTGGGTTTCCTTCAGGTGTGCTCTCAGGAATTTTAAGCGAATGTGTTATGACTCACCTGAGGAAGCTTTGAATACGCTAAAGACCATCACATATACTCCTCCTCCCATGAATGTGGGAAAACCTCCTTTGGGTGTTTCAAGGCCATTGTTGTTGAGGAGCAAGCATTTGTTGTGCCGCACTGTCGAGAATCAACAAATGGAAAAACTTTAAGAAGGTAATTCCAGGGCTTTGGTTTTAATCCTTTCCCTTGTCATTTAACTTTTTCTTGTGTTTTTGTAGGAACGAAGCTTTTAGGTCCCCGCCATCGTGTGGGATGGTGATGAAATATTTTGAAAGCACCAAATGAGAGAAGAGAGAAAAGTACCAAAACTGAAGCTACTTCAAAGAAAGTGAAAACCAACCAGCACAATATTGAAGAAAATCCGAAGAAAAAAGTCCGTCTACCCGTTTAATTCCAACTCTAAGATCATCCAGTATCTTGAGCTGTGAACCTCCTTCGTCCAAGTCATTTGAGATGTGAGACAAGGGTGGGGCAAAGTGAAGGTGAATGTTTCTCACTATGTCTTTAAAAGGGGTAGCGCATGCTCGTTTTAAAGGGGTAACTTCGATGCTTTGGCATTCTCACTGTGTCCCGCTTTTTACCTGTATATGGTTTCCGATGAAAGCACGTTTAGGCCTCTCGCCAGAGTATTTTGTTTCTGTAATTGATACATGGGCAAATTTTAGACACTGTCCGATTTGCTAGCTAGTGCACGTTGCTTTATGTTCTAGATTACATCAGCACATTAAAGAATTTATCCACTGTCTAGTTTGGTGACGTGTTCTGCAACTTCTCAATAAACAAGGTTTTTTAGAAAAGACAAGTTCCAATCCTATGAGCCCTTCTTGCAGTGATCATTATGTGCTTCAATTAACCTCATATTCAAATAATCCAACCAATAAACTACTGTAAAGGTTACTTGAAACAAAATAAATAAATATTAGAGATAAAATGAAATTGGGATATTGTATTTAGAACTAAATTCAATATCAAACTAGTTTTTATATTGGAATCTGGAGCTAGCATGTCATCATTATACTATCTTCGATTCTAACTATAAAATTTCATTTGTCCTAATTATATGACGTTATCTATAATCTACAAACAAAATTTTATAATTAGGATTGGAGTTAATATTAATTATCACACATGAGCCCAAGTTTCATCTTCTCTCTCTCAACTCTTTCTCCTATTTGTCTCTATTACCGTATTACTTATTATCTCCCTGTAGTATTCTAAACAAAGTGTATTTTTTGACATATTCACTACTTTTAATTCATTTTAATCAAACTTTTATCTACACCATTCAATTGTTTAGATCTTATATTTAATATGAGAATTAATTGACTAATTTGATTATATTAAAAAAATTTGTTTAGTTAGTTATTTGTAATAAATAGGTGTTTTTTTTAGAATATCCTTACAAATTATGCGTGTTAACTATAAAACTATTCAATTAAATTTTTATCATATATAACTATTAAAAGGATTACTTTAAAAAAAATAGTTAAATATGAGATATAAAATGAATTGTGATCTTATATTTAAGATCAAATTAAAAATCAAATTAGATTTTATATTAAGATATAATCAAAATTAAATGATCCATCATACATATACGGGGAAAAAATCTCCTTGGTTCAAGTTGGCAAACGACCAGGCAACCATGTGTCGTTTGCGAAGCCTAAACGTTACAGTTTCCGACTTGAAGCGACAACACATTGGCACCGTTCCCCACACTTGGCTCGCCCACCAAAACAAAACCGTCATTCCCACGCCCACGCACACACAAAGAGGCTCCCATTGACGTTCTCGTGTTTTCCATTTCACTCTCTGTATCGCTCAGAATCTGAGAGAACAGTTAGTCTCAGAAATTTTCTTACCAAAAGCGCAATAATAATGACTAAGCGTTGCTCAATCTTGCAATCCAAACTCCAGGAACTTGAATCCAAACTCCACGAAGCCTTGCTTCTTCATGATCACGACGATCAACATCAATACCTCGCTGAAGACATCAAGCAGAAATTCGTGTTCATTAAGAGTCTCTTATCGGCTGAGATTTCTTCTTCTCCTCCAGCATCGACGACGCCTCATCATCTGCAGCACGTGGCTCGGAGGATCCATCAATTGGAGGACGCCTTCCTGAAATGGCACAGTTCCAGAGGTTTCTCCGGCGGCGAAGAATTCGAAGTGGCTTCGTCTTGTTCTTGCACCGAATCGTGCTTCAACGACGATGGAGGAGAGGCCGGCGGTGAATTGAACGTCGCTGAATTTGCAGAACCAGAGGAGTTTCCTGAGGGCTGTAAGGCTATGGTGGAATGGAAAGGTGAAGCGACTGGAATTAGACTTGCTTTATTCCTATCCTCAGATTCTACATGCATGAGTAACAATTTTCTATTTTCACTTGCGTTGATAGCATTCAATTTGTCGTGGAAATGTGCTTTTGGTTTTAAAAATTATTCCTGAGAGTTATTTCATTTTAGTTCCAGTCTACGTTACAAAGAGATAAGAAAATTAATTACAGAGATAAGAGATCTTATGTATGCCACTATATTCTAACTCATTTATGCTGTGGAAAGATCTTTCGTTGAAGCAAAAAAGAAGCAACGGATTTGAACCGTTTGGATTTAAACATTCCTCTGTTTATGCGTAATACGCACACATTGTAACATGGCACCACACAAAATGGCAAGTTCTTTATCTTTGAAAGACTAAGTTGTTAAACCTTCTGTCTCTTCTAAATTTTGTTCGGCCATGAGGTTCTTTTTGGGGATCATTTGATCAGTGAAAAATGTTTAAAATTTGATGTCATTTTCTTTTTCACTTCTTAATATATATTTCATGATTCTGAATAAGTTTAAATTTGAAGTTTTATTTATTTCCAAACAAATTTGATAACTTAATTACCTCTTCTTAATTGGTTGGACGTGCCTTATAATAGAGACTGGTGTGTTATATGGATGAATAAATTCAAGGATGGCATGCATGCATGCTTTTTTTTGGGGGCAAAATTATCATTTGAAGCAAGTTATGTACTATCTGGTAAAATTTCATTCAATATGCAGAAACAGAGGAATGTCCAGAAGGTTTTGATGATGAGAAGGAGAAGGCAATGGCGAAATGGGAAGGTGACGAGGAGAAAGAGACACAGAAATTGGGATCTCTGGTTGACTATGAAGATGCAAGAGATCACTTTCTTGAAGTTGAAGGCCTTGATCATGGAGGATTGGTGATTAAAAAAGAATTAGGGAATAATGATGTAATATTAGAAAGTATTGAAATGACAAGAGAGAATAGCAAGACAGGTAGCGAATTAGGGCATGTTTGTGGTGCAATGGCCTGTGGGGTTGTGCTTGGGATGGTCTTTTCTGGGTTCATGATGCTCAGAATTTTAGGCTGCTTTCAGATTGTAGATCAATCATATTTTCCAATTCCAACTTAGGAATGTAGCTCAGTGGTTAATATTAAAATGTATATAATTATATTTCTATTTTTATAGTTGAGACACTTTTATGTCAGATAGGACAAGTAAATTTTCACATGAATACTGTTATTTTATTATTAGTAGTAGTTAAAATGCATGTGCACCTGTAAATTTTCTATCTATATGATTAAATGAGTTTAATGGCACGTGATCATCAACTTTTTTATGAACTTTTTGTGAAAAACCTGGGAAGGATATTTTAGTCATCTAACATAAAGCATAATTTCACTTTTGTTCTTAAATATTTTATTAAAATTTCTGAACTTTTTAAAAACCTTTAAAATAGATAAAGAATTTGATTTGAATTTAACTGTTCAAATTTGCATAACCTTAATGACTGACCTTGGTGAACGGGCCCAATTTAATTCTAGACAGAAAATTATGTTAGATTCGATTGGAATTCTCTCTTTCTTTTGTCAAATAATAGTAGGGAGAATTTCAGTTAAGCTGATTGCTGAGGCTTGATTTCTGTTCTAAAATTACACTTCATACGAAAGGACAAAAGTAAACAGAGTGTTTAGGTTAATGTTTGACAGTATAATATAAGTTCATCTTACCTAACATTGAAATAACTTAGGAGCAATAGTTTACATTAAGGCTGCATATGGGTAGGGCTAGTTAGGATAGGACCCTTGCTCGATGCCCAACCCGAAAAATAAACGAGTTGGAAAATGTAGCCCATTACCCGGCTCTGCTTATGAAAAGGCCTAGTAAGTTCTGGCTAGGCAGGGCAGGCTTCCATGCCCAGCAAATTAATATACTATATTAATTAATTAGTTATTTATATTCTTCTAAATAGTATAATATAACTTTATATTAAAATGGCAACTTGGCCTTAACTTAGTTATTACTAATTAATATAGTATGAAACTGCATTTTATAGTAGCTAAGAGGAGTGAACTATGACAAATAAAAATGTTGTTAGTATATTTTATTAAACTTAATTGCTTTTCTAGTTTCTAAAATTTCTTAACCAAATGTAAATATTTTTTTCCATAACTCTCAAATACTCATAAGAGGATGGATCAATTATACAAATTGCCAATGGTCATAATGTTTGCATTAAAAAAGAGAATGGTTTATGCCCGATGGGATGCCAATTAGCAGAAGATCAAATGCACCTTATTCGGGATTGTTCAAACGCTAGTGATTGATGGAAATCTGTTGTGTCCTCTATGTACTAGGATACTTTTTTCTCCCTTTCGGATGCAGAGTGGGTTAAATGGAATCTCAATCATAAGGCTAGTCGCTCCTACACTAGGAAAGTACCATGGAAGATTCTTTTTGGGTATATATGCTGGGACATTTGGATATCACGCTGTAACAGAGTGTTCAACGAACAGGAGACAGCAGTGAGAAGGGATGCAAGGGACAGCTTCTTCAAGGCGGCCTTAGATCAAGACCTTTCCAACACCTCCTATGTCTATAGGGCTACTACTGAACGACGGGAAGAGGCCTGTCGTGCTGGGGAGATATACACCAGATTAGAAGTTGATGGTTCCGTGCTAAGGGAAGGTAAATGCGGATGCGGAGGAGTTATTCAAGATCATCAGGACCAGTGGATCAGCGGTTTTAGTGTGAAATTGACGAATGTTCCTGTTACATCCAGTAACATGACAACTAGGAATAAGGATATTCCTAAATATTTAAGGGTCAAAAGCGATAAGGAGAAATAGAAGAATTTTGTTGGAAAATAATTATTATAATTTTTCAAGCCAATTATGAAAGTTTGACTAATTAAGGAAAATTGGTCAAGAATAATTATGGAAAATATTTCCAAGCCTCAAAAAATTAAGAGAAAATAAGGAAAATATTCCTTGAGAATTATATGGGATTATAAAATTGGTTTTATAACCAATTTGCCCTTAGAGAAATTATAAAGGAATTTAAGGGCGATTTAAGCTAGTTTAAGGTCTTTTATTTGGAAAATTCCAAATAAATATTTGGAAGGAGAATAAAATCTCAAGAAAATTCTTATGATATCCCAAGGAAATATAAGAGATTATGGAATTAAAAGAAGGCCCTCAAGTATCCAGGATTTTTCCTAATTCTTTGGAAGAGTGGAAAAAAATCACTAAAGAGAAGGAAACTAGTTTTCCTTTTTATTTAATTATTGAGAAATTAAATTTGAGACAAAGAGGGCAATTTGGAAAGATAAAAATAAGGAGAATAATTTATGGATCTGAGAGAAAATAATTACAGAGGCCAGAGCACTGTAATTATAGAAAAGAAGTTAAACCCGGAGTAAAAGTGCACCGATAAAGTGCTAATCAGAGTCTTGCACTTTACTTGGCCTACAAGTTGCCACTTGTCAAGCCTTTAATGGGTGGTAATTAGAGCTTTCTAAGTGTCAAGCCACCATTGGAGAGGATCTTGACTTTTGAAATTAATTTCAATTGTCATTAAGTTAATTAAGAGGGAAAATTAAGAAGGAATAGGCACTTGACACTTGGCTCTTCATTAATGATGGTTGGTGGGATATTTTGTGCATTGAATGAGCTCATTTCCTCCCCTAAATCTGATCCATATTTCGTGCAAGGAGGGTTAGAGAGGAAAAAGGAAGAGCTTCAAAGGAAAACCAAGGAGAAGGCATCAACTTTAAGCATACAAGTGAGATCCAAGGTAAGTTTTCGGTTCTAAGATGTTCTCCACCTTGTTTGCTTGAGTTGTATGGTTAAAAATCATAGCTTTTCCTTCTCTTTTGATGCTGGACGAAATGTATATATAGTAGAGGAGGAAGTTTTATGGTTCAATCTTACTAAGACACAACAACACAAGTTAGATCCTAGTGTTTGCAAGTGACTATAGGTTGTTTAAAGCATTTTTCTTGGTTGTGTTACTTGAGACCCATTTCGTCCAAGACAAGATCTGAACCCTAGGATATGTTTTTCAAAGTTTTAAGGCTTCCATTGTGTTCAAAATGAAAAATAGTGTAGGGTAAACCTAAAGAACAAGTGTTGGAAGCCATAGAAGCAAAGTTGCAATTTTTGAGTTTTAAACCCTAAGGGTTTGGTCAAGCTGAAACTGAAAGAAGGAGATTTATTTTTTTAAATCCAAGTAGATATTTGGAATCTACATGAAAAACTATGTAGGAAAAGGTCAAGAGGGAATTTTTAGGGTTTATGGAAAATAACTCTAAAAGCTCAAGAACAAAGATGGAAGCTTTAAGGGATTAGAGGTTACTTGATTTATGTTGTTAATTTTTCATGAGGAATGGTTGATGATTCTTGCTGCCATTTTTGTGGATTTCCATGTTAGAGTTTGGCATTTGTGGAAGCAAGAAAGAAGAACAAGAAAATCAAAGAGCATTGGATTAAGGTAGTAAGATTTAATTAGCCTTAATGTTGAATGTTGCATTGATTGCTGTGCAATTTCATGTGCTATTATGTGGTTGAACTAAATGATGATGATGATGATGATTGTGTAGCTATACTTCTTGCTTTATGTGCCTTGGCTATTGCATGTTAGAGTGCTACATGTATGAGGTAAAGTAGTTCCCTATTAATAGCAAAAGGTTGGAATGCTTGTAATTGATGCATGTTAATGTTTTGGTTGATTGATCTTGCTACTGGGATTTTCAAAAATCTCATCCCCCCAATTATAATGTAACATTTTAGGGCCTGTAACTCTCAAGAGCAAGCTGCAGATTGGAGGCTAAATTATGGTGAAACACCATACAAATTCGTGGACATTTGGTCATGTATAATTATCTATGGTTGGTGCTGTAATCCTTAAGCAAGACGTTAGTTTAGAGCCGTGTTTTATTTAGTTACCGAGCGAATCTCTGCACGAAATTTGGCATGGTTATATTTGACGTCCTGAGCTTCAAATTGATAGGCAGAACGTTAAAAATGGCCAAGTATATGATTTTTAATGATTTTTCAAAGTTAAGGTTTAAAATCTGGAATGAAGATTTTTGACAAATAGACAGTGTTACCTTTCACAAAAACCTGACGCTTTTTCATAAGGAATTGTATCATGAGAGTATTTTTCCTTGAAAGAGGACTTAAAGAGCTTTAAATAGAATTTTGAACCACCCCAATTGGATTTTTGTGGAATAAGTTATGAATTTTTGAAGTTGGGCCAGAAAACTGGATTTTTACCCGATGAACAGTAAAAAAATCCGAAAATCAGCGTTTTTCAAGAGTTTTTGAGCCCAAGACCATCCAATGTGGTTTAAAATGGTTTTAAATTAAACCCTAAGTGGATCCAATAGTAAGGTGTGACAGTTCCCCCAGCAATTGCAGAGCTTATGGGCCTACATGGATTAAACCTATGCTAGGCTAAAGGTTTCAAAAGTATTTGTTTGTTTTTGGACTGTATTGAGGTAATTAATCTGGCGACTAGGGGATGCGATGATAATTACCCTTTCAAGGACTTGGTAACTAATGTAAGAGTAGCTATACACAGGGATTGGCATGTTATTTTTTGTCATACAGATAGGGAGAGGATTCCCTTAGCTGATTTTTTAGCAAAGACATCTCATAGGATGAGTAGTAATTTTTGTGTCTTTGATCACCCTCCCCCTCTATGTTTGGAGGTGGAAAGTGATGATAGACAGTAGGCTTAGCTAGTTGGACTGGTTTTCTTGTGTTTTTATTTGTATCTCAATTATCATTAAAAAAAAAAAGAGAATGGTTATACAAATCGCAGTAAATGATAACACGTATAACTCTCAAAATCATTTGAAAATAAATAAGTATAATGAACATTGAATATTGATGCAACGGTGTGTTTGATTTAGGAGATAAATATGCGGCAAATAAAATATATATAAATAGAACTATATATATTTTTACAGGCAGGGCCAAATGGACAGGGCAGCATACCATGCCTGATGCCCAGCCTTGTCCGACAATTTACCCTAGCCAAACATGCCCAATATTTCTTTCGGGCCATTTTTTTTAGGGCGGGATGGGTTTTTTTTTATGGGCTTGGACGAGTATAGTGGGCAACTGGCTCCATGAACACCCCTAATTTACACGCACTACCCTGGATTTAGGTTAACATTTGAGATTATAACGTAAGTTCACCTTACCTAACATGACATAACTTAGGAGAAACAGTTCACACGCCCTATCCTTGGTTTGGGTTAATATCTGAGAGTATAATATATGTTCATCTTATCTAACATTGACATAACTTAGGAGGAATAGCTCACACGCCTTACCTTTGGTTTGAGTTGAGCCTGAACTCTTGCCTAAAATTTTTTAGGACAAAAAAAGACCCAAGTAAAATTATGTTTTGATAATAAATAATTAAAATGCCCTTTTTTGATATAAATATTTGGGTAAATGACAGTAAAATATCATGTGAATTTCAAAAAGACAAATAAGGCACCTGAATAACTAAAATAACAAATAGGGCACTGGGTATCAATCTTGAATTCAGATTTTTGGCCAGAAGACAGAATTGCCCCGATGAGCAAGGTAAAAGGAAGTGAAACTGATGAGAAAATAAACATAGTAACTGGTTGAGTAGCACGTGAAGAAGGAAAGAGGAATGCTGGAGCAACACATTAAAGCTGAAAAGAGGTAAGTTTAAGTTGCTAGTCTTTGGAAATGGTATAATCTTACTCCTTCACATCACCATTTTGTTAGGATTGCTGATTTAGTAGATTTTGGTTGTGGGCAAGAGGGTTTATAGCAAGAGAGAGTGAACATGTCGCATTACGTGATGGTGGGTTTGGGTAGTTCTTTTTTTTCGGCTGCTTTATGGCGTAATGGTGGGGACGGGTGTGTTGGAGATGAGGTTTTATACTTTATATTGAGTATTTGGAATGACGTAGCGGAAATCAAAAAAGGTGGCAAGCAATTACATAGGCGTGAAGTTTGCGTTCAGGTGGTGAACATTGTTAAAATCAATAATGGAGTTGTGAAACCCTATAATAAAGTTGCGAATAGAAGAAAAGTTTCTCTCTATGCGTGTGTTTTGGGTGTCACGTACATTGATGGAAACTAATTCGCGGAGAAGTTAATTTTTTTTTATTTAATGTTGTTTGTTGTAGGTTAGCAAGTGGTGATGTCTTGTAATATTGTATCAACATCTTCAAAAAGACTTGCTTGTTATTTTCACGTAGATGGAAAGTTTGTAGAAAATGGCAATGGTGAAGTTAAATACTATGGTGGGACTGTCAGAGTAAGAGTAATAAATGAGGGGGAAAAACTTGAAGATTTGAGGGCAATGATAGGAGAATGGTTCAGCATAGATTGTAGTGGCTGTGATATTAAATACACTTTGAGTTTTGATGACAGGGTATTAGTAGATCTTATAGATGATGGTGAAGTTGATAATCTATTTGAATATAATGACCGTAATGCACATATTTATATAGCACATAAAGGTAATGACAATGTGGAGGAAGGAATGGGTTATCCAGAAACGTAAGTGAGAAATTTTTTTGGTGGTTGTGAAAGTTGATAATTGTTATAATATTGTAGTAAATATCTTAACAACAGTGGTAATTATAAATGCAGGATCTCGAGAATGGTGGGACTGTCAGAATAGAGTGATGAGCCTACATTAGAGGGAAATGCTTTGGAAAGTACAAGTTATAGAGGTAGTGAAAGACCTAATGTAAGCCTGCCATACGGAGTAGTGAGTGCACCAACACCTTTACCGGAGATGAATTCTTTGAAATGAAAGAAATTGTTGTTAGGATGGAACCAGACTTTTGCAAATGCAGAAGATTTCAAGAAGAAAGTACATAAGTTTAGTATTGCAAACAAGTTTGAGTATAAGTATGTGAAAAATTATAGGGAAAAATGGTATGTGAAATGTAATGTTGAAGGTTGTCCATGGAGGATAAGTGCAAGAGTGGGTAGAAAGAGTACTCTCTTTTTACGTGTGGCAACATTCATAAATGAGCATGTTCATAATGCTCAAGACAATCTTCGTGTGGAACATGGTGGTTTAGCTAGCTTGACATCATCAATCATCATTGATAAGGTAAATGATCACATAGACAGGCGTCCAAATGATATAAGGAAGAGTTTGGAAAGAGATTATAGTGTGAAGTTGACATATAAACAAGCATATAGGGCGAAGCAAAAAGTGTTAGAGGACATACATGGCAGGCCTGACTAGTCTTATATGCTTATTCCATGGATATGTGAACAGTTAAAGGAAACAGATAACAAAACTATAGCCAAATGGGTGGGTAATACAATAACACATTTGAGCGTGCATTCATAGCATATGGGTGTTGTATAGAAGGCTTTATAGCTGGTGCTAAACATGTACTGTACATTGATGGATGTCATTTAAGTGGACTGTATAAGGGAACGTTACTGTTAGCCTCTGCTTATGATGCTGACAATAAATTGTTACCTTTTGCGATTGCTATTGTAAAGGGAGAGACACTTGAGGATTGAACATGGTTTTTATACATGATTAAGGAGATAGTTGGGTCGATGGAATTGACAATTGTGTCAGATTGACACAATGCAATAATAGGTGCTGTGCAAGCAATATTTGGTGGTGAGAGGCACGCATACTATTACAGACATATTAAGGAAAACTTTAGTGCACAAATGATTAAATTAAATAAAGGAAAGAGGAAGACTAGTAGGAAAGCAAGGGAGGAGGGACTGCAATACCTCGATGCCATTGCATATGCAAGGCTTGACACCGAGTTTGATGGTGCAATGGATAACATGAGAAAGTTCAATCCACAACTATTTGAGTGGCTTCTTAATCATGCTGATGTTGAAAGGTAGGCCTTAAGTAAATTCCCATTTAAACGATGGGATAACATCACAACAAACCTTGCTGAGTCATTCAATGCTTGGATGTTGAAAGAGAGACGATATAATGTTGCCCAACTTATACATGAGCATCGTGAGAAGGTGGCAAAGAAGATGTATGCAGCAAGCATAACAATGAGTAATTGGAAAAATGGTGTAGGCCCAAACATAGATGCAAAATTGGGGGACAATGTTGCTAGATCAGCATGCATGTTGAGTGTACCTTATGGAGGAGGTAGGGTGTGTCTCCATACAAAGGAGCTATACATGTTGATCTTGGTTTAGGTGAATGCACCTGTGCAACTTGGCAAATGTCAAGCATTCCATGTCCCCATGCCTGTGCAGCTATTAAGGCTGTGAATTGCAATGTGTATGATTTTGTTGACGAATGCTATAAGATTATATCATAGCAAAAGATTTATGGGAGGACTGTGATTCCAATGGTGACAATAGACATGCCAAATCCTAACAACTACTGGGTGGAAAATATAGCAAGTCAAGTGTTCTTGGCATTGCCTTTGACTAGTCAACCACCAGGAAGGCTTAAAATAAAAAGACAAGAGTCACAGTTCCAAAATAGGAAGATCTACTATTGTAGCACATGCCAACAAGTTGGGCACACAAGAAGAACGTGCAAGAATCCAAACCCAAGTTGAAGTTAGATGTCAATAGATATGGTGATTTTTTGGTGTAAATGGAATGACTTTTGAACCCGTCTTAACTTTTTTGGTATATAGGTTAGTAGACAGAGTATCTATGATTTTAATGAATGGGATATTGACAAACTCAATTATTTTTATATATTTTGATATCTTTTATATGGGTTTTGTCAACTTAATTAGTCCATTTTGACCTTAATTGATTATTAATTGATTTAATATGTTTTATTTTGAATTATTATTTTTTAGGGGCAAAATTGTCATATTTTGGTTTAATTGTGACTCATTGTTTTTTTAGGACAATTAATGCTACCTTATCTTTGAATTTTATTTGCAGGTTTTTGGAAGATTTAAAAATAAAAATGAAAATTTTAAAAAATATAGATATAATAAAAAAATAATTAAAAAAAAGGGGAGCAAAACGTTGCGTTTTGCTCCCCCAACCTAATATTCATCTTCTTCATCCGGTAGCTGAAGAGGGGGACAGGCGGAGGCGCAGCTGGAGGAAAAAAAAACAAGGGAGGCACGGCGGAAGCGGAACGCGAGGAGGGCGACGCTGAATGAGCTGGGACGGCGCAAGTCCAAGGAGCATTCCTCATTCTTCTCCGTTGAACCTTCCTGGTGGCAGGGATTTCGCGACAGCAGGGGGCGAACCAGTAGCACAAAGGAACAGAGGACAGTGGCGTGAACTGAGATGCACACGAGCAGACAGCAAATCAGAGGGAGAAAACGAACAGCTCGACGGTGTTCTCTTCATTCACCATTCATCTTCTCTACGTCTTCTCACTAGTGGCAGAGAGAAGATAGCGAGAGAGAACAGAACAGAGTCTTGACGGAGGTAGAAGGAAAAAAAACAGAGAGACAAAAACAGGGAGTTGACGGCAGACGCGAGAGAGAGGCGAGGGAGCTGAGTGAGGTCCAGAGCTCGACGACGCAAGAAACAGAGTGACGGCATTATTCATCTTCATTCTTGAACTAGAGGACGCACACACAAGGACCTGGGACTCACATGAACAGAGTGAGGAGACGACGCGAGCAATGAAGCAAACGGTGGAGGCAGATACGAGCAGGAGCTTGAACGGCAAAATGATACCTCCAGATTTCATCTTCCATTGGCTCCTTCACTGTTGTTCTGCTATGGTTGTGATTATTGAAGCATACTGTGGAGCTTGAGTAATGCAGGGACTTGGCTAAATCCTTCCAATTCTCTAGAGCAATGGTTATGGCTTGAACTTAGAGCTTCAAAGAGGAGTTTCAACTCTTCTAATCTTTACTTCATTCATTCTAATTGTGATTTCTAAGTCTTAGAATGAATTTTATAATGTTTAAATGGGCTGTGATGGTTTATATTTGTATTGAGATTGGTTGTAGTTGTTAGAATCTTTGATTAGCATTTAACATTATGCTGTGATTAGCTTTTCTTTACATTGTACTGGGTTAGACTATGTTTTGGAATTATTGTGAATATTCAGTGGTAATTCAAGGTGGCTTGGTTATTGGACTAAAAATGTTAATTGTTTTTCCTTGATTCTTTTTGGCTAATTGTGCTGAAATAGTTTAATTGTGAGTAATTAATATGCAAGGTGGCTTGGTGTTGATTATTCTAATTAAACCGAGTCAAGGGGTGGCCCTTAGAGTCTTTTGAATTTAGCTAACTCCCAAATTAATTGAAGTAATGATAGCCTAAATCATTATGCTAAAGGATTGCTTTTTCATTTGTTGTCACTTGTTAATTCTCTTTGTTTATCTCATTCATATCCATTTTATAAACTAAAAATCCAAAAATTATTTACTCATTTTGCATCCTTTTAAATTTTGCCAATTAGTTAGTTAAAAAGAAAATCAATCCCTTTTCAAGTCAATTCTTTATTTTTTGATACTTAGTTGCTTAGGATTTCAAATAAAGGCTCCTCAAAGTGAAATGACCCGAGTTTTGCACTATATTGCATTGCTTGGATTTATTTTGATTGGAAACCCCAAAGTGAATGACAAAGGCTCTCATCAGATATGTTTTGTACATTAAATGACAAGAAAACATTAAGTGCTAGTTTAATCTTAATGTTAACTTGTCATTTGAATATATGTAATGTATCTGCTGTCATATGGCTGCTGGTTTTTGGTAAATACTGT